CAGTGTCCCCCTAGCCCCCTCAGTGTCCCCTTAATCCCCTGTGTCCCCCCAGTGTCCCCCCGATCACCAGTGTCCCCCTAGCCTCAGTGTCCTCCTGTGTCCCCTTAACCCTCCCAGTGTCCCCCAGGGTCCCCCCAGTCCCCTCGAATGCAGTGCTGAGGGGCCATCACAGGAGGTCAGGTGGCCGCCAGGAAGATGCTTCACTGCAGGGAGGTACAGTGGTGGACCTGAGGTGGACCTGCATCATTCACAGTCCTTGGTGCAGCAGAGGAGTGTTGGCAGATTGCGAGTGCCTGGCCCCATGAGCATCTTGTGAGCAGCATGTGTGAAACAGCCCTCCGTGAGACAGGCACGCCTTGGCCTGTGTCTGCTGCACCGTTGTGCTCGGCAGACGGGGATTCGGCCAGCACATGTGCATCTGGGGCTGAGTTAGTGACCCCGAAGTGTGAAGGGCTGTCCGTCTCCTCTCCTGAAGTGCTGCTCTGGGACCTGCTGAGGGCGACTGTGGGAAAGATGCGGTCCCTTTTTGCCATTCTCCTGGGTCTCACGGACTGCAGCCCTCCCTCTAAAGACTGCCCACTCTGCTACGTGTGGGGACACAGAGAGCCGAGCGCTTTCTGAAACCGCCTGTCATTTCTGTATCTGGGCGCAGCGTTTTGGCATTTCTGGGTTGACTCCTGTCTGAGTGCTCCCAGAGGCTGTTGTATTTTTCTAGTTGTACAAGCGAGTTGTTGCTCAAGTAAGTGATCCCTTTACCTGCTACTAAGGAGGTGAACGTTAGATACTTTTTAATTGACCTTTGTTGTCTCTCTGGTTTCACAAAAACAGTTGGACTTGTGGGAAGGGGGGAAGCTGTTTCTGAGCCTATTTTAACTTTTACTGGAGAACATTTCAACATGGACAGAAATAGTTCAGTAAACCTCTGTCTCCGGCTACCCAGGGGGGTACATGCTGGTCTTTAGTGCATCGCCGCTCCCCCACCGCCCGCTTACTTTGCAGCAAATCCCAGATATTGTGTGTTTTCATCTGTCTCTACCAAGTGGTCTGTTTTTCTCCCCCCGAAAGAACGTAACTGCAATCCATTCTAACTTAAAAAATGAACAGGAATTCCTTACTATCATCCTATATCCAGCCCAAGTTCCCGTCTCTTCCCGTGGTTGTTCAAATCAGGGTCCACACAGGGCTTCACTTGCACGAATCTGTTTTTACTGCTTCCTGTGATGCTGGTTAACCTGTCCCCCGTATTTCTTCCTGTAAGCATGTCCATACCGCTGCACAGGCCATCACATCAGGTCCCTGTCTTGGTGTGGAATACTTCTGGGTGCTTGCATGTGCCTGCTGTGGGCTTCCCTCAGGCTCCACCCTGCAGGCAGATCTGCGGAAAGCCTTGCTGGGCGTTTTCTGGGCTGCCAGGGTCGGTCATTGTCCCCAAAATAGCAGGGACATGCTGTTCCTCCTCTGACAGGTTTTATCTGGGCCGCAAATATCTTTGCACCTGTTTGAAAAGCGGAGTCACTTACCAGAAGAGTTATTTCACATGCGCTTGTGAGCTCATTGGATTACTTTCCAGGTTACTTCCCTTTGGAGTTCGCTTGTGAGAAAAGTTCTCTGGAAACGTAAGCTTGATTTCCTTTTCTAAGAGATGTGCATCCCATAAAGAAATCTCCCTTGTGTGGGTAACGCTAAGCAGAGTTCTGGAATGCAGAAGCAATCTACAACATGGCCAGTATCAGTTGCTCAAGGCAATTTCATCTTCTTTTCAATTAAAAAAAAACTTCATATGGTAATTTTTGAAAATAGTAAGCTCATTTTAAATATAGTTTGAATGTTTTTAATTCATTATCAGTTAAATTTATTTTTATTACATTGGGTTTTTTTTAAAGATTTTATTAAGAGAGCACACGCACGCATTGGGGGGTGGGGGGCAGAGGCAGAGGGAGAAGCAGGCTCCCCGCTGAGCAGGGATCCCGATGCGGGACTCGATCCCAGGACCCCGGGATCATGACCTGAG